TGGATCACACATACACACTCATCACGCCGTAGTCTGGATCACACACACACACCCATCATGCCATGGTCTGGATCACTGTGCAGATGCCTCTTTTGCGCATTTTAGCACCAGCAGATTCAATGGTACACCTGTGGCAAAGACAGAGAAGGGGAGAGAAGAATAGCAGTAGGACCTCAAAACTTAGTACATGAAGTTTAGTCATTACAGGTCTGGGTGGGGTGCGGTGGCTCACGCCCACAATCCCAGCACTTTGGGAGGCCCAAGACAGGTGGATCACTTGAGGCCAGGAGTTCAAGACCAGCCTGGCCAACATGGCGAAACCTCATCTCTACTAAAAATACAAAAATTAGCCACGTGTAGTGGCGCATTACCTGTAATCCCAGCTGCTCAGGAGGCTGAGGCACAAGAATCGCTTGAACTTGAGAGGCGGAGGTTACAGTGAGCCAGGATCACACCGCTGCACTCCAGTCTGGGTGACACAGTGAGGAGCTAGTGTAGACAATTAACAAATGAATTCCTTTCAAAAATAACTCCTCCGCAGAGCAGGCTGGGCTGAGTCAAATATGGGCTCCAAGAGAGGAGTTTGAGCTGCAGAGATCTGGAAAAGATCACGGAAGAGGTCTGAGGTGAGCAGGGTCTTGAAAGGCAGATTGCAGTAAAGAATTTTATAAGCAACAAAACATGCAGAAGGAGGAATGAAGGGCCGGGCACAGTGGCTCGTGCCTGGAACCCCTACACATTGGGAGGTGGAAGCAAGAGGTTGGCTTAAGGCCAGGAGTTCAAGTCCAGCCTAGGCAACATAGTGAGCCCCCCATCTCTACAAAAAAGTAAAATAAAATAATAAAAATAAATGAAGAAGTGAGCATTCAGAATTGGCATGAAGTAGCTTGTCTAAGATCACCCAGCAGGGCCGGGCGTGGTGGCTCACGCCTGTAATCCCAGCACTTTGGGAGGCCGAGGTGGGTGGATCACCTGAGGTCGAGACTTCGAAACCCACCTGGCCATCATGGAGAAACCCCATCTCTACTAGAAATACAAAAATTAGCCGGGTGAGGTGGCGCAGGCCTGTAATCCCAGCTACTCCAGATGCTGAGGCAGGAGAATCGCTTGAACCCAGGAGGTGGAAGTTGCAGTGAGCAGAGATCGCACCACTGCACTCCAGGCTGGGCAACAGAGCGAAACTCCGTCTCAAAAAATAAGACCACCCGCCCAGCAGGCCAGGGGCAGAGCAGAGATGCAAACTGACTGTTTTCTCCAAGGTTTGGGTTATTTCACTAAATGCTTCATACAGAACAGCCTGCCATCATCCCCGCCACAGCTTCCCACACACTGGATGTGTTAAATCCCTAACCAAGAACGTAGTTTTTTACATTCTTTTCTCGGGAGTTAAACAGGAAAGTTGATTTTCTTTCCTCTTGCCCCAGTGGAACCCTCAGGGAATAACACTTGGTGTCAATTTTTGCCCCCTCAAAAAAAAAAACACAAAGCTTTATTTCCTCTTATCCTTTAACTTTAAGGGAAATAGGAGTATCTCAGGCTAGACTGGGCACAGCCTGTAATTCCAGCACTTGGGAAGGCCAAGGTGGGTGGATCACCTGAGGTCAGGAGTTCAAGACCAGCCTGGCCAACATGGTGAAACCCCATCTCTACTAAAATACAAAAAATTAGACGGATGTGGTGGCACATGCCTGTAGTCCCAGCTATTCAGGAGGCTGAAGCAGGAGAATCATTTGAACCCAGGAGGTAGAGGTTGCAGTGAGCCAACATCATACCACTGCACTCCAGCCTGGCGACAGAATGAGACTCTTGTCTCAAAAAAAAATAAAAAATAAAATAAATAAAATAAAAAGGCTGGGCACGGTGGCTCACACCTGAATCCCAGCACTTTGGGAGGCTGAGGCGGATGGATCACGAGGTCAGGCATTCAGACCAGCCTGGCCAACATAGTGAAACCCCGTCTCTACTAAAAGTACAAAAAATTAGCCGGACATGGTGACGGGCACATGTGATCCCAGCCCCTCAGGAGGCTGAAGCAGGAAAATTGCTTGAACCCAGGAGGCAGAGGTTGCAGTGAGCTGAGATCACGCTACTCCACTCCAGCCTGGGCAACAGAGTGAGACTCTGTCAGAAAGAAAGAAAGAGAGAAAGAGAGAGAGAGAGAAAGAGAGAGGAGAGAGAGAAAGAGAGAGAGGAGAGAGAGAGAGAAAGAGAGAGAGAGGAGAGAGAGAGAGAAAGAGAGAGAGAGGAGAGAGAGAGAGAAAGAGAGAGAGAGGAGAGAGAGAGGAGAGAGAGAGAGAGAAGGAAAGAAAGAAAGAGGGAGGGAGGGAGGGAAGGAAGGGAAAGCAAGCAAGCAAACCGCAGTTTCCGTGTGTCTCACAGAATGCCATCACTACGGGGTTAACTCACTTGTCCAAGGGGCACAGTTAGTAAGCAGCAAAGCCAGGTAGCCAGCCCGGGTGTGCCTGCTTCTAAAAAGCCTGTACTCCTGTCCGGGGTCTGGCTGGAAGCAAACCTCAGCTACCCGGCTAGCTTCCCACCTCCCCCACCAAAGTGGGTGGGATGGAGGGTTTCACCCCAACTAGCAGTTTCTCTGCCAAGGAGCTTGAACGCATAGCACCCAGGAACCTGTTCGCAGGAGCCACCATTTCCCCGGCTCCCAAAGCAGCCCCTGGGAAGGCGGAAAGACTTACACACCTTAGAACCTCTGAGGGGCTTCTCGGAACTTTTCCTTTCTGAACCAGAGCTCAGAAACCTTTCAGGACAAGGTTCCGCACTCATTGCACACAGGAACCAAATAACTACATAGCAGATTCACAATCCCTTGCACGCCGCCAGAGTCCGATACCCTGGGCTAAGCTACAGTGGAATCCTCCCCAGGGGAGACCCCGCAGCCGGCACAGAGTAGGCACCCAGAAAACGTTTTTGGTTTGTTTGTGTTTTTTTTCCCCTTGAGACGGGGTCTCGCTCTGTCACCCAGGCTGGAGTACAGTGCCACAGTCTCAGTTCACTATAACCTCCACCTCCCGGGTTCAAGCGATTCTCCTGCCTCAGCCTCCTGAGTTGCTGGGATTCCAGGTACCCGCCACCATGCCCGGCTAATTTTTGTTATTGTTAGTAGAGACAGGATTTCACCATGTTGGCCAGGCTGGTCTCAAATGCTGGGCATCAAGCGGTCTGCCCTCCTCAGGCTTCCAAAGTGCTGGGATTACAGGTATGAGCCACCACACCCAGCCTCAGAAAGCCTTATTGGCTGGGCTTGGTGGCTTACATCTGTAATAGCAATACTTCGGGAGGCCAAGGCAGGAGGATCACTTCAGCCCAGGAGGTCGAGGTTACAGTAAAGTATGATGGTGCCCCTGAACTCCAGCCTGAGCAAACTCGGCCGGGCGCGGTGGCTCACTCCTGTAATCCCAGCACTTTGGGAGGCCGAGGCGGGTGGATCACGAGGTCAAGAGCTCGAGACCATCCAACCCAGGAGGCGGAGGTTGCGGTGAGCCGAGATCGCGCCGTTGCACTCCAGCCTGGGTAACAAGACTGAAACTCCATCTCAAAAAAAAAAAAAAAAAATCATGAGACCCTTTCTCTACAAAATTTAAAAAATTAGCCAGGCATGGTGGTCCTAGCGACTCAGGAGGCTGAGGCAGGAGGATCACCTGAACCCAGGAAGTGGAGGCTGCAGGGAGCTATGATGCCACCACTGCATTTCAGCCTGAGTGACAGAGCGAGACACTGCCTTTGTGTAAAAGAAGGGAGAGAGAAAAGGAAAAAATACAGAATTTGGTGGCATTCCACCCTGCCCCGGACCACAAGCCCCCAGCCAACCTGGCCTTCTGTGGCTCAGAAATCAAAACTGTCACTTTGTCCCATAAGTGGTTCTCTCTCCTGACGTCCTGATGAGGATACAGCGGTTAGCGAGCAGTTTCATGGCCGAATGCAGCCAGCCTTCATTACTGCATGCCGGGCACCCGTGCCAGGCCTGAGTGTGCAAAGACTCAATGGGACCTTGCCTTGCTCTGTCTAGTTGGAGCGGGTGGGGTGGGGTGGAGGAAGAGTCACTCCCTAAGAGCCCTGGCCGGAAGTGGTGGCTCGTGCCTGTAATCCCAGCCCCGGGGGAGGCCCCGGCAGGAAGACTGCTGGAGCCCGGGAGCTCCAGACCAGCCTAGGCAAAAACGTCTACACAAAATGTAAACATTCGCAAGCACAGTGACACACGTTTGGTCCTAGCGGCTGCTCGGGAGGCTGCGATGGGAGGATCACGAGCCCGGGCGTTGGAGGCTACGGTGAGCTGCGATGGCGCCACCGCCCTCCAGCCTGGGTCGCAGAGCCAGGCCTTGTTTCAAGAAGGTTTTCGAAAAATGAGTGGCCAGGTGCAGTGGCTCATAGCTGTCATCCCAGCACGTCAGGAGGCTGAGGAGGGAGGATCACCTGAGGTCAGGAGGTTGAGGCCAGCCCGAGCAACGTGGTGAAACCCCATCTCTCCTCAAAATGCAAAAATGAGCGGCATGTGGTGGCCCGCGCCCGTCATGCCAGCTCCCCACGAGGCTGAGGCAGGAGGGTCGCCTGAACCCGGGAGAGGGAGGCTGCCGCGGGCCGAGACGGCGCCACCGCGCTCCGCCTGGGCGACAGGAGCCCAATTCGGTCTCACATAAACGCCCGTGGCGCTTTCGGGGCGGTGTCCCCACCCGGGGGCGGCTCACTCGGAGGCTCAGCTCGCGGGCTCCCGGCACGGCCCGGGGGCAGCAGGGAGCCCCGAGCGCGGTTGCCCGGCGGCCCCAGGGTCGCGGCAGGGGCAGGCGGGGCCTCCAGCCGGCGCGCGCGGGGCCGGGGCCGGGGCCGGGGCCGGGGCCGGGGTCGGGGCCGGGGTCGGGGCCGGGGTCGGGGCCGGGGCCGGGGTCGGGGTCGGGGTCGGGGCCGGGGCCGGGGCCGGGGCCGGGGTCGGGGCCGGGGCCGGGGTCCGGCCGGGGCGCCCCCGCCTCACGGGCGCCGCTTGTGTCCCGCAGGTCTCGGATCCGCAGAGAACTGTTCATTGAGGAGATCCAGGCCGGGAGCCAGGGCCAGGCGGGCGCCAGCGACTCCCCGTCGGCCCGCAGCGGCCGCGCGGCGCCCGGCTCGGAGGGCGACAGCTGCGACGGCGTGGAGGCCGCCGAGGGCCCGGGCGGCGCCGACGCGGACGAGCCCAAGTCTCAGGGAGAGGCCGAGCGGGACGAGGCGCCGCGGCCGGCGGAGCAGACGGAGCCGCCGCCCTCGCGGACCCCGGGCCCGGACGACGCCCGCGACGACGAGCACCACGAGGGCGCCCCCGCGGACGGCCCGGGGCCGCCGCCCAGCCCCGCGCCCGCGCCCGCCGCGCCCGCCGCGCCCGAGGACGCCGCTACCTCAGCCGCCGCCCCGCCCGGCGAGGGCCCCGCGGCCCCGAGCTCCGCGCCGCCGCCCGGCAGCAGCGCCCCCCGCAGGCCCAGCTCGCTGCAGAGCCTCTTCGGCCTCCCCGAGGCCGCGGGCGCCCGGGACTCGCGCGACAACCCCCTGCGCAAGAAGAAGGCCGCGAACTTGAACAGCATCATCCACCGCCTGGAGAAGGCCGCCAGCCGGGAGGAGCCCATCGAGTGGGAGTTCTGAGGGGCCGCGCCGCCGGGCCGGGCCGCGGAGGCCTGGGCGGGCCCGACGACGGGGCTCGAACCGCGGCCCGCGCCGACCCCGGGGCCGGACCTGAGCGCGCGCGCGCGTGTGCGCGCGGCCCAGACCCCCGCGCGGTCCGCGGCCCCCCCCCCACCGCCACCCCGCGGCCCGGACCGCGCTGCGCACTTCCCGCCCTGCGGGCCACAGGGCAAAATCGCCATAGGCCAAGGTGCATATAGAAAACAAAGGAGCATTAAGCCCAATCTATGTCGTGTTTTCGAGGAAGAAAACAGAAACGTGTGGTCGAGCTTTTTTGTACCCTGAAGTGTTTTTTTTATTGCCCTAAGTGATTTCCACAGGTTCTGGAATAACTCTTACAGCTTTGCCTTGTGTCCTCCTGTTCCGTGTGGGCTTTAAAAAAAAAAAAAAAAAAATCAAACCCACATATTAAAAGGGGGCTTTTTATCTGCCATCTAATGGCTTCAGAGCGATAATACACTATTATCTTCTTAAACCAGGAAAAAAAAAAGGGGGGGGGGAGGGATTTTTCAGAAAAATTAAAAAAGAAAGTTTTTGTAGCTGTTCAGTTGCCACTAAGAGATTGCACAGTCAAAACGACTCTAAACACACTAGTTTGGATTCCTAAATATTTTCAAGAAAAGAAATCTTCTCGTTTGAAACTTTGAATTAAAATAAAACACATTTACTCCACATATTTTTTAACAAAAAAGAAGACGTCACATCAGGAAACTCTGATTTTGTGGTAGCTGACATAGTGTTTTCTTGTACGTGAATAGAATCCTGACATGTAGTGCACATCAATGTATAGCTTTAACTGACCCTGGGTTTTGCAGACCAGGGTTTGTTTAATACACTCCATTCTAGGCCAAATCAGGACAGGAAAAAAAGAAAAAAAAAAAAAAGAAAAAAAAAAAAGAAGAAGAAAGAAGAAGAAAAGATCCGAATCTAGGTATTTTATAATCTGCTTTTTAACCTCTAACCGCAGAGCACGCTGATCAGACCTCATATCTTGGAGGTTTAGGAGACAAGTTAGAACTGTAGCATGTACCTGTTAATTTTGTTTAATTTATGGTGTCTCAGTCTGTCTGTGCGTCTGCACGTGTGCAAACATGGAAAGAAAGAAGGAGAGGGTAGTCAGGCCGGCGCAGCAGGCAGTTCCAAGGCCAGACAGGCAGGCCGGTGGCCACGTAGATAGCAGTCTGCGAATCTCTCTCTGGCACAAAAGGCACCTCACCTCACACCACTCTCCTGGGCACCTGATGAACTGAGCCCTCCCAGGGGAAGACACTCCCCAGGCCTGGGCAGGGCTTGCACTCACACTCTCTCTCTTTCCCTTTTTCTTCCCACCACAAGCACTGATGACCCTGTTGAACTCGTGGGAAACTTCCTTTCTCTGCGGGAGAGAGAACGTGGCAGTCTGGGCTCCCCATTCCCATCCCTGTAGAAATGGCCCAAATTCACACCAAAACGTGGATGCTCAACTTCCAGACCAACCATTTGCCCTGCATTCATTTCGCCTCTTAGAAAGTTCTTTTATGCACAGTTTTAGGGCAGTCTAAGTACACACCGAAAGTCTAACTTGTCTCTGACTCCTCCCTTGTCTATGTGTATATGCGTGAGAATAGAGGCGGGTGAGAGTGTGTGTGTGTGTGCGTGTGTGCAATTTTATACGTCTGTGTATTTTCTTAAGTACCTGTGCACACGTAGAGTGCATTACTGCCACCTTTTTCAATAAGCTGTTTTATCAGTTATGGCTTCTACAAGTTTGCTAATTTAGACTCCTTTATTGCCATATCTTTAAACTAACAATAGATGATTTCGGTATATATATATATTTTTTTTTGCTTATTTATAGGTGCTGTATTTTATTATCTGATTGTTAGGAAGGGATGAAAGGGGCAAATATTCTTTAGAGGGATAGACTGCCGGCAGTATTGGGTATAATTTACAAGATGTAGTTGTCATACTGTATATTACTGATTGAAAACTTTTTGACCGTATTGTGTATCATTGAAACCTTTGTCTTAGGTCAACATCTTTGGATGACATTTTAATGGTGCATTCATTATTTCTTAAGTTTAATTAATATTACTTTTTTTTTTTTTTTTTGATTTGGGGGGTGGGAGGGAGTTATAATTTTAAAGGTATGCTCTGGCTGTTCCACCTCCGTGTGCTTGTTAATTATCTTGTAGGACTTTGACTGTAAGATGTGAAACCACGTTTCTTGCATGATGTTTTAGAGATTATTTCATTTAGAGTCTTTTTAACCTGCAGCTGCAGCACTTAGTTCACGTTTTCACAAGTTTTTGAGAGTCACTACACTAAAGACAATGCCTTTTCGTGAATAAGAAGTTTTCAGAAGGCTCTAGGGGGCTGGGAGGCAGGCCATTTGTTTGTCTTTCGATGGGGGTATCATTTCTGAACTTGAAATCTGGTTCAGGAAGAAGAGAATTCAAAATTGGAGGAGCTTAAGGGGACACGGGTCAACATCTGGCTCAATTCAAGTGCATTGAGAGGAGAGAGCTCACACCAGTGACCCTCGGGACAGTGAGTAGCGGAGCCCTGGCCACTGTGTGTCTCCACAGAAACCTCAAGGGACTTTTGTCATCATGGATGATGAATCTCTATCATCTAATTTTCATAAGAATGGAAAGCAAGAAGTTAACAGGAAATCATAGGCTAGGGCTTAGTTTTAAAGGCATGACTGTTATTTACAGAGATGTTAAATCCGAGGAAATTGACAAATATATAGATCTGTCCATTCTAGTGGCCAAACAGTAACAGTCTAAAATGCAGTCATTTTGGCCCTCCCAAGCAATTTAGTCGTATTTGTTGTCTTCTCTTTTTTATTTTTCTCTTTTTAATTCTTAACTAGATTACTCTTGATTCCCATTCTGTCTCTTTTTTTTTTTTTTTTTTTTTTTTGCCGGACTTACATCTGGGTGCCGGATACAATCCGTTGGTTACATTTTGCTTGCAGTTTTGTGTATTTTTTTCCTCTATTATTTATTTTTAAAAACAAACCTGGAGATCCCAACCTTACGATCTTTGATGTTAAGCTAGTGCTGTCTGTAATACTTCTAAGAGCTGCCACTAAGATAATACAGCAATCCGTGGCCAGGGGGGCAGCGCCTCCCTCCTGGTCGGACCCCTCAGTTGGAGTCTAAGGGTTAATCTCTCATCTTGCTAAGCAGTATTCAAGTGCCTTGAACAGTGTCCCCTCCTTGTGGCTCCCCTTCAGCAGGCTGGCGTTCCAAGCAGTGGCTCCCGAAGGCAGCCGACCCCCTTCCTCTTCACGCTCTATGAGTTTAAAAAGCTGATTTGTACCTCTCCCCTGGGGGAAACGGTTCCATATAAAACACTAACACTTAATTACAAGCTCCATTATGCCATTTTAAATGGATTCTTTTTGTTAATTGGAGGCAGTGTTCACAACTTAAGGCTTTTGCCATTAACTTAGCTGGCTAAGCGGAGGTGCGGCATAAAATCAGTGTTTGCGTTTAGCCTCTTGACCCAGGGTTACCGCCCGAGCTCCCTTATGGTACCCAAGACGGCAGGTGTGTGGGTTCTGTCCTAGACCTGTGCCCAACTCACTTCCACCCCAGAGCAGTCTTCTCTCCTCCTCCCCCACCCCCCCAGCTCCCAGGGAGCCTCCTCTTGAACTTCTGTATCTGTGAAGACCTCTGTGGTTTCTGGCCACCAGACATCTCTTTAGAAAGGATTATCAGAGCTGTGGAGCTCAGCTCAGCTAGATTCTTCTAGAGGATCTTAGGAGGCATCTTGGCATGAGGCACCTTCTAAGTGTCTCCTGGGGCAGGATCGGGGCAGACAGCCCAGGGATGCGTGCTTGCGAGAACTCAGAAATGCCAGGATCGTGGCTCGTAGACATCCACCATCAAACCATGCTACTTTGTCTATGCAAGTAATTGAGGCGAAAGATACCAGCTGACGGCCTCCTTGGGGCAGATCCCTTGCACCTCCAAAGTACAAATGCCTCCCTGCTCAGTTTTCTTCCTGTCAGTATCTTTGTGTTCTTCCCATTGAACAACCATCCTGTCTGATGTGGATGTTCAGGTTTGCTGGTTGGTGGTCCCGGCCCAGAGTGCAGCAGAGCTCTAGGTTAAATGTACCTTTCTGGCCACTGCCCAAGCCCAGGTGGCCAGCTCTCATACCCCATCTCTCTCCTTGGCCAGGGCCAGCATCAGGCATGCAGCTCATGGCCAGTTTTCGCAGGCTGTACTCTAATTCGGAGAGAGTGCTGTGGGCTTTGGTTGACTACTTTAAGATCATGCCACAGCCAGGCCCTAAAAAAGAGGGGAGCCGGAGTCCCCAGGTGAGCTCTGTCACGGGCAGGTGCCTTCCCAACTAAGGTCGGACCGGACAGCTTTGCCCCTGCACGCATGTCCTTTGATACAGGGGTGATCAGTGAACTCCGTTGACAGTCTATGCAATGTTTTTCATTCCTCTGATTTTAGCAAAGTAAATCTCACTGAAAAATAGAGCCGGGGGAACAGACGCGCGTCCTTCTGGGAGTCGCACAAAGAAAAGCAGAGATAGTGACTTACAGGATTTTGAACCGAGGGATGACAGCCTTTGCCTTAAATGCACTATGACAGGCACTTCTTGGCAGGCCAGTAAAAACAAAAGTCCATAGATCTCACTCATCCCAACCTGTCCCGGGAGAAATGGCAACATGGGGCGCGGTGAGCATGCTGGGCTGGGCTGTTGGCTGTGGTACTTTAGGCTGGAGGTTGGGCTCCTGTGCTGCCCGGGGGGCCCTGTCCCTCCCCGGATGTCCTCCGTCTTCACACTCCTCACTGTCCCTTCTACCTCACTAACCTGTGTTCTCCATCTGATATCACCAGAACCACGCCCCACAGATCTGTGAGGCACGTGGGCTGCAGGGGGTGGAAAAGCTACCAGTGGGGCCAACGCGAGCATGCCTCTGCCGGCGGGCGGGCTTTGTGTCTCTCTCCCTTTGTGAGCACAACAGACAGACAGCTGTGCCCTGCAAGGCACATGAATTTCTCTCTTGATTTCCACCTGTTCCCGAAGCTCCAGCAGCTGTGTCTTTTGCAGGCAGGGCACGGTCTCGGGCCTCCGAGGATCTTGTCTGTTCTTTTCTGCCCACTCCTGTTCAGCTGTTCGGATCCATCATGGCCATTTTCCTTGCCCCGGGCTGCCCCAGCATGGCCACATGAGGATGCATCCCAAGATTCCCAGCTGGCTTCGGGGAGCGCTGTAGCTCTTGGGCGTCTGTTGTCTCTGGCAAAGTCTCAGCCTCACTGCGAACGCTCCTTTGCAAACAGCAAACATCTCAAAGGCGGAAAAGGGTAGATGGCTTCCTCCAGCCTTGCATCGCCCGCTTATCTCAAAAGAACAGGCCAGTTCCCATCCACCACCGAAGAAAACCAGCTCCTGGGCCTCTGGTTGGATGTGGGTCTGTCCAGTCTGGGGGCCAAAGTGTTTCCCTGCTGGAGAGAATTTGCAAGGAAGCCCTAGGGATTGGGACAGCATCCTGTTCGTGGCAGGGACCAGCCAAAGCTCACATTTAGAAACCCCCCTCCACCCCCAGGGCTTCTGTGGTTTCACCTGGGCGTCGATGACATTAGGGACGTCTTTGTGACCACAAGGATAGGGTTTATGCCCTGAGTGGCAAGGTGGTGACCTGGAGTCAGTGTGATGTGGTTGGATCTCAGCGTGTACTGAATGCCAGTCTGGCCGGCACACTCAAACGCTAAGGGAATGGTCCAGTCTGACGATTTTATTTCTATTTCCATCAGGTTTTGACTTTCTGTAGATGAAAACTACAAGGGAAAAGAGAAAGCAAGTACCCAATAAAGTCTAGAAAGATCCAGTCCAGGAAATCCTTAGAGATGGGCTGTAGTTAAGTCCACAACCGCCAGGCTTAATCCGGACAGAAGAGGAGTGGACGTGGGTAGCAGAGCGTAAACTGAGCCCCGGCCCTGCTTCCAGCCCCCCAGCCCAGTCTTGCCCGTCCCAGAGGCCCCAGCAGCCTGTGCACCTCACCACCCGCCCCGGGTCAAGGGAGTAGAAGGAAATGCAGTTTCCTCCTGTCTTCCCCAACCTCCAAAAACGGCCCCCTCCTCCCAGGCCTCTCCCACCACCACCTCCCCTCCAAAGATAACCATGTCCACGCCATCCGTGGCATCATCTCGAGTTTTCATTTTTGGATGAAGTGACATTTAGCTTTAACGAGACATTTCCAAAGCGCCTAGACTCCTCCAAAATGCTAACTTTAAAAGTTGGGCATTGTAGGCGAAAAATCCTGATAAAAAAAAAAAAAAAAAAAAAAAAAAAATAAGGCTGAAAGAGAGAAAGACATTTGGCCATGTATAAATGTGCACTTCCCCACCCCCGCCCCGTTCTTAAACTCTTAAGATGCCTTTGAGTTGCTTTTCATGAATCCTTTTAGTTTACCCAGTAATGTTAAGAAAGCATTAGTCTGCGTTACTGTAATTTCTGTAGTGTTTAGGCTTTAATTTCTACCACAAAAATATGCTATATGCTATGTATCAAGCTTTCTGTAATCAGAAAGGAAAGGTGCCTTATATCCCAATGTCACGGCTACATCCCTATGGAAATTAAACAGAAGCACAGTGTGTACGGAAGCATTGGGACTTCTGCTGGTGAAACAAGACACCGTTCAGCAAGACACGTTGAAGTGGCACGGAGCTGCTTTCATTTTATAATTCCTTCCCCCCCCTTCTTTTTTTTTTTGTAGTTTGCTTTAAACAGAAAGCACTTAAATAGATGACTTATGTGTAAAAGCTCTGTGCAATTGAAATCATTTTTCTTTTTTTTAAAAAAAAAATAAATAACGTATTGCACACCAAATGAACTCAAAGTAAGCTTTAGACCAGGACGATTCAGGTTATGAATGGGTTTGTTCACTGTAGTTCCGTTTGTTCATATACCGAAGGGAAAACAGGCCTCCCCCACCCCTTCCAGTCTCCCAGTCTGCCTCTTGGTGACCGCTGAGCTGGGTGTGCAGGGCCCACAGGCTCTGGCCAGAGCCGCTGGCCTGGCGAGGCAGGATGGTGTGTGTCGGTGATTCAGAAGCTGAGAGCCTTCCCCAGTGTGCGAGGCCACAGCCGTCCCTTCCAGCACTTAACCTTGTCTTGTTGAAATGGACTGACTGCTACTGACCTGCCGGCGTGCGTGAGGGTGATTATAAAAGGATGTTTCCTTGAGAAAAAAAAAAAAAAAAATTATTCCTATCCTCTTCTATTTATTATTAGGTTAATCATTTAAGTACTTACCAGGAGTGTATTGTTATTTTGTGTTTTGTTGTCATAAATGCTTTTTGCTGTCACTCTAGTGGTTACTGTCCTCTGCCTTCCTCTCCCCCTCAGCCCCCCCCAGAGAATCAAGGCATCTGGGGGACCGATTGGGGGACAGGGGGGGTTTCCCCAGCAAAGTCAAACACCTGTCTCCAGAGTAGCCGCTCAAAAACTGGCGGTCTCTATGTCTCTGACTTTTTAAACGAGAGTATATGAACAAAAATCTACCAACATGTAAAGGGAGAGCTGAGTTGAAGGATACTCGCTTGAGGAGCTGCAGAGGAGTCTTAGAAAAACCAAGTTCAGTTCCCCAAAGCCTCCTAGAGCCTCTGGTAAGACTTCTGGGTTCATGAAGTTTCAGCCAACCCAGTTCAGAGAGGGTGAAGTGGCCCGGTCAAGACGATCACTTCCAAGCGAGAGAGTGATTTCTGGCAAGGCCCACTCGGGTTGGTATGTTCTGGTTGGGTTTTGTTGTGGTGGTGGTTTTCTTGCATACAAAGTTGGTCAAAACCATCTCTCAAAGCAACAGTGTTTCGTGGTACCAGCTGTGGCTTGAGGGCTCACCTAGGAGGTGCCGGGCAGAGGGCCCCTGTCCCCTATAGGTGGTTCAGTGTGGAGGAAGGTTGGGTGTGGAGATTGCTTGCAGTGGCCCCGAGCAGGACACCCAGTGGCTCGCCAGTGGGGTGTGAAGGTGAGACGGCCTGCCTGGAGCCCACGGGCCCAGCAGAAGGAACCTTCCCCCAGGCCAAGGCAAGGGTGCTGCTTAGTTGCACGGGAGGCCGGGCGGGACACCCCTTTCCAGGCCATCACCTCCCCTTCTCCAAAATCGATGGGGGGGGGGGTCCTGATTTTGTTCTCTCTTTGACAGAAACCCTCTACCGAAACAAAGGTCTCCATCTCCCCCAAAAGCTTTTTTTTTTTTTTTTTTTTTTTCATTTTTCTCTAATTACTCTATGCATTTCTCTCTCTCAAGCCATCTTCTGCCTCTTCCCTTGAGACAGGGGGTGTCTCACGTCCCCCCGCTTCTGAGACCTCTTGGGGGGAAAATGCCGTGCGTTTTGGAGACGTGAGAATTCACCCCAAGTTCTTACAGCATGGGAGATAGCTTGTTGTAAAAGTAAAAGGGGGGGGAAGAAGAAGGTGGTTTCCCCCACATCTCTTTCCACTGAATGAGAGGACTTAGTTCTTTGCGTTTGTGCAATAACCCTTCGCTGCTCGCCTTGAGAGCGGGCAGCACCACGCTTCTGTCCAGACTACTATCAGCGCAAGACGCACTCGCAGGGTGGCGCAATCTTCCGGAAAACTCTTTATAAGCTCAGCTCCCCCCGCCCCCGTGTTCCGTCACGTCTTACATTTTAGCAGTATTTGATATTTTCTGTGACGCACCACGTCTTAGATCTTTCTCAAGCTTCTTTGTTCATCCTTGCAGTCACAGATTTTTTTTTTCCCCTCGAATCCTCACAGAGACCCAATTGACCAAAAAAAGAAAAAAGAGAAAAAAAAAAAAAGGCGTCTTTTTTTTTTTTTTTTTGTACAAATCGCTTTGAGATGCCTCTGTTGTGTTGCTGTGTGACTTCTCTCTGATAACATTTTCTTTTTCGATATTTGTTTTTCTACATTAAGAGTCAAAGTTGAACCGGCTGGCGCGGGGGTGGGGGAGGCACCCGTCGGCCCCTTGGTGTTGTTCCTCTGTCCTTGGTTAGCCATACAATGTTTGTTCTCAGCACTGTACAACGGTCCCTATATAATACGGAGAAGCAATATCACTGTATGAAACTCACACCATGTATTATTATTCACTAGCACCCTAGGTGTGATAATTGAAGTAAATATCTTTTATACAAACACAAGAATGCGTGGGTTGTTTTTATTGAAAGTGCTCTGGCCTGAGGACAAGCAGCAAACACTGTCATTCTGGGTCCAAAGGGCACCCCGAGAATCGCCGTTCCCGAGGTCACCCTCCCTGCGCACCTATCCGTGCGTCCTTTGGCGTGTGGCTTCCGGGCACACACACAAAGCCGCGTGGCTCTGGGATGCGTGGGGATCTCGGGCACCGATTTCCTGGGGTCTGCATTCGCTCACGGGAAGGGCTCCGCTGGGGCCTGCGTTCCTACTTGCTGTTGTCACCAGCTCTGTCTGCCTACCCTTGACCCCAGCCCTCACCCTCCCTGGCGTCCGCTCCCCCGTCTGTGAAATGGAGGCACCATGGCCTGTCACACAAGCTTGCTGTGGGGGACGAGGAATGGTGGCCAGCACTGGTGCGGCGCTGGGCTGGTGGTGGCAGCCCCAATCGATGGCACTCGGGTGACCAGGAGTGCAGCCAGGCACCTCTGCCGGGTGGCCTGCAGCGGGTCTGTGGCCTGCCCTCCGCCTTCCGTGTGGTGCTCTCACGGTGCCCCTGACTCCTGAAGGGCACCAGCTAATGCTTGCGAGTGGGCGGGAAGAGGCGATTGGGACAGAGGCTTGCGGGTCTCTAAAACGCCGGGGCCGCTGAGAAGGGTCTCTTTCTAGAAGGCGCTCAGGCTGGACGTTGAGGTGAGAGCCCTGCAGCGGTGGCTGGTAGGCTTCTCCATGCAGTTGTGACTCGGAGGCTGTTGCTCGTCTTGAGACCCGCTGGGTTGGGAAAGAGCCGTCCTCCACGAGACGTGTGTCTAGCGGAAGTGGGGATTGACTTGGTCGCGTATTAATTTGGAGATTTCAGATTGTGAAACGCCCACGTGTGATACAGAAGTGAAAGCCTCTCTCTGAATTAAACTGGACTCAATCCTCCCTCCAGTGGGAGAACCCAGAGCATGGGATGGAGACGCCTCCCAGGGCCAGCTGCCCTTGGCAGCCCCGTGTCGCATGCAGCCACTCAGGGCCAGGGGTGTCTCGAGAGTTGCCCCAAATGCCGGCCCCCTCAGACAGGAGGGAACTGCATAAAACCCTAAGAGCTGGCCAGTCACAGTGGCTCACGCCCGTAATCCCAGAACTTTGGGAGGCCGAGGTGGGAGGCTGAGACGGGCCGATCACTTGAGGTCAGGAGTTCAAGACCAGGCTGACCAACATGGTGAAACCCAGTCTCTACTAAAAATACAAAAATTAGCCAGGCATGGTGGCATGCACCTGTAATCCCAGCTAGTCAGGACGCTGAGGGAGGAGAATCGCTTGAACCCGGGAGGCGGAGGTTGCAGTGAGCCGAGATGGTGCCATTGCACTCCAGCCTGGCAACAGAGCAAAACTCAGTCTCAAGGAAAAAAAACAAAACCGAAGAGCTCTGCCAGTTTGGTGTTTGACAGGCTTAAGTCTATAACATGCTTGGTTTTTCTGTTTGCTGGTTTAGGTATGCCCCCACGTATTTAAAGATCTGCTAACTAAATTAAAATGAGAAATGTTAAAAAAGGAAGAAAAAAAGAAGGAAAGAAAGAAAAGAAAGAGGGGAAGGAAGGAAGGGAGGGAAAGAGTAAGAGACAGGGGGGGGGGGGCAGCTGTGCACAGTGGCTCATTTCTGTCATTCCAAGCCTAGCACTTTGGGAGGTCCAGGCAGGAGGATTGCTTGAGCCCAGGAGTTTGAGACCAGCCTGGGCAACTTAGTGAGACCCCCATCTCTAAAAAAAATAAAAAGTTAGCTGGGTGTGGTGGCATGCACCTGTAGTCCCAGCTACTCTGGAGGATGAAGCAGGAGGATTGCTTGTGCCCAGGAGTTCAAGGCTACAGTGAGCTTTGATGGTACCACTGCATTCCAGCCTGGGCAACAGAGCAAAACCCTGAATCTAAAAAATAAATAAATAAATATTTAAAAAAAAAAAAAAACAAGCCGGGCGCGGTGGCTCGAGCCTGTAATCCCAGCACTTTGGGAGGCCGAGGCGGGTGGATCACGAGGTCGAGAGATCGAGACCATCCCGGTCAACATGGTGAAACCCCGTCTCTGCTAAAAATACAAAAAATTAGCTGGGCATGGTGGCGCGTGCCTGTAATCCCAGCTACTCAGGAGGCTGAGGCAGGAGAATTGCCTGAACCCGGGAGGCGGAGGTTGCGGTGAGCCGAGATCGCGCCATTGCACTCCAGCCTGGGTAACAAGAGCGAAACTCCGTCTCAAAAAAAAAAAAAAAAAAAAAAACGATTAGCTCAAACTCTTTTTCCTCAGAAAGTCTCTCCCCAATGACCTTTTTTTTTTTTTTTTTTGAGATGGGACCTCAGGCTGTCGCCCAGGCTGGAGTGCAGTGGCGCGATCTCGGCTCACTATAACCTCCTCCTCCCAGGCTTAAGCAACCCTCCTACCTCAGCCTCCCAAGTAACTGGGACCACACGTGTGCACCACCATGCCTGGCTAATTTTTTGTAGAGACCGGGTTTCGCCATGTTGCCTAGGCTGGTCTTGAACTCCTGAGCTCAGGAGATCCACCCACCTGGTCCTGCCAGAGTACTGGGATTATAGGAGGGAGCCACTGTGCCCAGCCTCCCCAGGTGCTTCTGAAGTGAGAGTTAAACAAAACTGCAGTAGCACCTGGTTTTTCAGGACCAGCTGCGGAGGCAGAAAAAGAGGGAGATTTCCTGCTCTGACTGCAGTTGAGCGATGCCCCCATTCCAATCAAGTGGCTCAGCCTTGGTCGTCCTCCCTTCCCTGCAGTTAAAGGGGTCTGAACAGAACTGTGTTCTTTGCTGTTGTTTTGTTTGAGACGGAGTCTCTCTGTTGCCTTGGCTGGAGTGCAGTGGCGCGATCTCAGCTCACTGCAACCTGCGTCTCCTGAGTTCAAGCAGTTCTGCCTCAGCTTCCTGGGTAACTGGGATCAGAGGCACTTGCCATGATGCCTGGCTAATTTTTTGTATTTTTTTTTTTAATTATTGCATTTTAGGTTTGGGGTACATGTGAAGAACGTGTAAGACTGTTGCATAGGTACACACATGGCAGTGTGATTTGCTGCCTTCCTCTCCGTCACCCATATCTGGCACTTCCCCCCATGCTATCTCTCCCCACTCCCCACCCCCCACTGTCCCTCCCCTATTTCACCCCGACAGACCCCAGTGTGTGATGCTCCCCTCCCCGTGTCCATGTGTTCTCATTGTTCAACACCCGCCTATGAGTGAGAACATGCAGTGTTTGATTTTCTGTTCTTGTGTCAGTTTGTTGAGAATGATGGTTTCCAGGTTCGTCCATGTCCCTACAAATAATTTTCCGTAGAGATGGGGTTTTACTGTGTTGGCCAGCCTGGTCTCGAACTCCTGACCTCAAGTGATCTGCCCACCTTGGCCTCCCAAAATGCTGGGATTACAGGTGTGAGCCACTGCGCCTGGCTCTTTATTTGTTTTTCTTTCATTTTGTTTTGTTTTCGAGATGGAGTCTGGCCCTGTCGTCCAGGCTGGAGTGCAATGGCACAATCTCAGCTCGCTGCAACCTCTGCCTCCTGGGTTGAGGCGATTCTCCTGCTTTGGCCTCCCAAGTAGCTGGGATTACAGGTGCCCGCCACCCCACCTGGCTAATTGGTTTTATTATTATTATTTAGTAGAGACAGGATTTTACCACGTTGGCCAGCAGCGTCTGGACCTCCTGACCTCAAGTGACCCACCTGCCTCAGCCTCCCAAAGTGCTTGGGTTTCAGGCATGAGCCACGGTGCCCGGCCACGTTTCTTAGTTGATGCTCTGAGGATACACAGTCGCGCAGAGACAGGGGCACGATGTGGTGATGAGATTTTTCTGAGCACTCGAATTGTCCCCAGTGGTCCTGTGCGCTTCTGTTTAAAAGCCCCTCCGAGTGGCTGCCTGGGGGTGTGCTGTTCCTCTCCACGGTCCTAGCATGCCAGCTTTGGGGACACGCAGCTTACTGGTGTCTACCCAGCCCATAGCTGGTTCCTGTGAGGTGGCAGAGGCCTGGGCCTTCATGCACGGACCCACGCAGGGTACTGGGAGAGCTCCACAGAGCTGCTGTGATGTTGCCAGGCTTTCTCTTCTCGTGGGAGGGACAGACAGGAGACGTCATAGATACGTGAATTAGATAGTTGCTTCGAAGGTGATCAGTATTAATGGGAGAAAAATAAGGATGGGAAGAGCAAGTGAAAAGGGGTCAAGTTTTTTGTTTTGTTTTTGTTTTTTTTGGAGACAGAGTCCGCTCTGTCAGCCAGGCTGGAGTACCATGCCGCAATCTCGGCTCACTGCAACCTCCACCTCCCCGGTTCTAGTGATTCTCCTGCCTCAGCCTCCCAAATAGCTGGGATTACAGGTGCACATGCTACCACGCCCTGGTAATTTTTGTTATTTTTAGCAGAGACAGGGGTTTCATCATGGTGTCCATGCTGGTATCAAACTCCTGACCTCAAGTGATCCACCCACCTCAGCCTCCCACAGTGCTGGGATTACAGGTGTGAACCACTGCGCCCAGCCAAAAAGGGTTAATGTTTTAAACAGGGTGGTCAGGGTAGGCTTCCCTAACAGTTCACTTCTTTGTTTATTATCTTTTTCTTTTTTTTTTTTTTTTTTTTTTTGGACGGGGTCTCACTCTGTCACCCAGGCTGAAGTGCGGTGGCGTGATCATAGCTCACTGCAGTTTCCAACTCTTGGGCTCAAGCGGGCCTCCCAGCCTCCCCAGTAACTGGGACTACAGGCCCACGTCACCCACCACTTGTGGCTAATTTTGTATTTTTTGTAGAGACCAAGTCTTGCTATGTTGCCCAGGCTGGTCTCTAATTCCTGGCCTCAATGATCCTCCCACCTCAGCCTCCCAAGTCCTGGAGTATAGGCATTGTCGCCCAGGCTGGAGTACAGTGGTGCGATCTTGGCTCACTGCAACCTCCCCTTCCCAGGTTCCCAGACAGAAGTTAACTTCTGAGCAGTCCTAGCAGAGGTGAGGGCTCGAGCCCTCCAGATGTCAGAGGGA